TCACGGCCGAGTACTCATGGTCTTGTCATGTATGTCGTCTGAAAATCACGGGTAACCCTAAACCCTAAACCCTAACCCTAAACCCTAAACCCTAAACCCTAAAACCTAAAACCTAAACCCCTAAACCCTAAACCCCCTAAACCCTAAACCCCTAAACCCTACGAAGCACCAGACGGTCAAATGTCACGTCGGCTCAAGGCGACCTGTGGGGTTCGCAGTTTCTGCAGCGCAGCATTCCTAGGTTGGTTTTTGGGACATTTTTTAGGGTTTAGGGTTTAGGGCTTAGGGTTTAGGGTTCCTTATTTGGGTTTATAAGGGACCCTTTATATAAAAAATCAGAGGGTTTAAAGGCCAAGGATAATATTCCCTAAGGGTCCATGTATTCATATAGCATATACATGGGCCCTAAAGTACCTATATAGGGACTACATTAAGGCCAATGTATATACCCTAAACCCTAAACCCTAAACCCTAAACCCTAAACCCTACTATGTGAACACATGGACCCTTAGGGATCGGAACCTGATTCATAAACTTTCGGTCTCCTGGTTAGGGCTCGTTACAGGGTTTAGGGTTTAGGGTTTAGGGTTTAGGCTTTAGGGTTTAGGGTTTAGGGTTTTAGGGTTTAGGGTTTAGGGTCCTGGTTAGGGCTCTTTGCATGAATTCGAAGATATTGGGTCATATAGGGCCAGGTTTTTTTTTTATAACTTTGGGTCGTTGTTGGGGTTCTTGATCTGAATTCGAAGATATTGGGTTATATAGGGCCAGGGCTTTCAACCAGGTTCCTCAACTACGAACAACAACCAAGAATAGTAGCTAAAGCCCCTGCTTCATCCCATGGCAAGCCAATCCTCGACCCTCAACCCTAAACCCTATAAGCCCTAAGTAAGCCCTATAAAACCCTAAACCCTATAAACCAACAACCCCAAACCAAGCTTGCTTACCGAATCCTTTGTCCCTTCTGGTAAGCCGCGGAACATGATGTCGAAGCCTGAAACATACTTTGATCTTTAGGGTTTAATGGCTGAAGGGTTTCGGGATTAGGGATTGGGGTTCAGGGATTGGTTAGGGTTTTCGGATAGGGCACTTTGATCTTCGCTTTCCGATCCTGCCGGTATGCTGCGCATCACGCTGCTTTCCGGGGAAGAGCTGGCAAGCCTTCCTCTCTCCGAGCAAAGTGACGTGAAGGAACTGAAAAAGCGATTGCAACAGCAGTACGGCCTGCCGCCGCGATTCAGACAAAGGCTTCTTCACGAAGGCAGCGCCCCCTAACTTCTGGCTCTCTTAAACTTAAACGAGCACTTCCTGAGAGGGTCTATATCCCCAAGGGTTTAGGGTTTAGGGTTTAGGCCCCTCATCCCCACTCCCACTATAGAAGCCCTGAAGGCAGTGTTGTGGATGAAGTTGCGAGCTTGGACTCCCTAAGGGATCTGCAGGTCTTGATACTGCCCTTCGCCGAGACTTCCCAGCGCCATCGGAAACTGAGTCCTTGTTAACATAATCATAAAGCAACAGAAGAAGATGTTCAGAAGAATCAACATCATCATAAACCCTAAGCCCTAAACCTTAA